CCTAAAATGTTGATATTAAATATACTTACTGTGTGCAAATGGCTTTATTGAGCTAGGATAACGCTGTCTTGTCTATAACTGCAAACATGTAAATATTAGGGCAATAAAAGAAGTGTATTTCTATACTGCCTCATGCAACCTAAAAGTCTCAACTCAACATGCTTCAGTCGCAAAGCAGTCAATATTTGTCAGCACAAACAACTCACTTCCACAGCCAGAAACCTTAAAAGTAGAGATTTAAATCTGTGAAGTGTCGCGCTGCATCGTAGACGACAAATGAAAGACTGTTTATCTGGAGCCACAGAGATGTTTGTTTGAGTTTCTATTTCCAAACGGTGTCTTTTCTGTAGAGGTGTTATCAGCTCTGAACCAGAAAAAAATACACTCTTATCCACAGAAAATCCCTCTGGGGACTCTGCCAGTCACCTTCACTGTCTTTCCCACTTCTTTATTTGAGATGGAGCAGCTCAAAATTAAACAACTAAGAGACGCCGCTTGTTTTTAGCTCCCCGTTTAACAGAAGCGTGATTTGTGTTCATAAACACTAATTGGATTGCTGCAGGCTGTAGAAATAACATATAGGAATTCATAATTTAAATACTATTCACCTCTGAATGCTCTTGTTTTCTGCTCTGTTGTTTATGTACTTTATCTAGCGTAGAAGCAGCTTATAAATATAAGTCAAAAGAATTAAAAGGGAAATGTACAGTAGGCGTCTTAAGGCAGTTTGCCATATTATATGAATATTCATTAATATCGCTTGCTATATGGCTGGCAAGTGTCCCTTTTTTCCAGGAAAAGCAGAATGACAGTTGTAGAGAGTGGATAAAAGAAAGACTGATAGACACACACACACAATATAAGTGTGTGCATGCCCCTACACAAACACATTAGAGAGCGACTGTGTGCACTCACTGCCTTTGCGTTGGCGGTACAGGAAGAAGGCGAGCGCCAGTAGAAAAATAAGCAGCAGAATGGAGGAGCCCACCGTGCCACCAGCGATAATTCCCACTGGAACAATATCTGAAACAAACACATGCAGAAAAAGGGTATGGGGTTGAGGGACAGCTGCTGCCTCATTGTTACAGAAACCTGCGCGGATGCAGCGTCGTTTAAGCACAAATCCACTGGTGTTCTAGCTTAATATTGAATCTCTGAGGGCTGCTTCTGTTGATAAGGCGCAGAAGCAGCACCAGTCAGACAAGGAATGAAATGCTTTAAGTGAACATGTGAGGGGAAAATCCAGGCTCAGTCTTTTTTTTCTCGCTTTCAAAGATGTTTGGGAGATTTTCTGAAGCCGGCGAAATCTGACAGTTGAAACAATAACAGTTTGACAGAGCATGGAGAAGCCATTTTCTCAATGTAATGTGGCATACCAAGCTCTGGCAATAAAATATGTAACCATCCAGAATGGACTAACAACACTATCTATCTGTTCTCCGACTGAGGCCACAGCTTAATAATCTTGTTCAAGGGCATTTGAGCTTGTAAGAAAGAGAAGAACATCTTGTTCGGGGACATTAAGTTCCCCGTCTGATTTTTTTCCCTGTAAACAAATTCAGCGCTTAAAAACTCAGCTGTTTGCCTTCATCGCAAAACAAACAACAAAGCACACAACCAACCGTCATCAAATTTGGAATTAAGTTTCTTAATTCTTATGATGAAAATTACGTGATATTGCCTTTTTTCAGTTGAGCCACACACATAGATGAGTGAGGAGCATCTAGAAATGAAGAGATATAGAAATTTTTTAAATGAAACATCCAGTTGATATTTCATTCTTTATATTAATATTTTGTTGATGTAAATTCCTGTTGCGTATCACAAAAAGCTCACCCAGAAAAAAAAATTATTCAGGGTATTTTAAAGCCCAACAAATTAATTTAACACCTTCCTAATAAATTATTTCCAAAGCCAATTTTTTTTAAAAATTGGAAAGCTGGAGTATTTCTCACAAAGTTTGCCACATCCGAATGATTTATACAGAAACACCACAACTGGAAGCCAACAATGAGAACTTTGCAACTCATAAATTTAACTACAGTTAAAGCATTTTGCATTCACAAATGGCTTCCCCCAGAAAAGTCCAGTGTAATGTTAACATCCAACCATGGATGTTAACATTACACTGGACAGAAAAGTCCAGTGTAATGTTAACATCCATGGTTGCTACATATAATCTTTGTCTTCTTCTATGCTTTTGCTTTATGTATGTAAACTTCCACAAAGCAGTAGCCAAACAGAAAACATAATTCTAGCATTAAACTAGGAAGGCAGGAAGGGTTTTGTGCTTCTGCCAGTGGAGTAGTTGTGTATCTATGTGTTTGAAAAGACAAGAAGAGCAGCTCATGAAAATTAGATACACATTTATGATATATATAATAAATATTTTAATTCTGTTTACTAACTACTGCAATCTGCATTGATCACGTGCCACGGCAAGCTTCATCTGTGCTTTAAAGTTGAACAAAAAACGAAATGATTTTATTCACCCTAACCTAAAACCCTAACTTCAACACAGTCTCTCCATAATGATGCATTATGATTCCATTATGCTAATATTTGAATTGATAATAGCAAGTAAAGATGACTGTAGTTTATTTTCTGTAATGTGTATATGTGAGGAGTACTCAGCATGACCACCATGTTCAACATATGTTCCCCCCCCCCCTTCATACCTTTCTCCTCCAGTGTGATAATCATGGTGCCAGGTCCGAAGGAGTTCCAGGCAGTGCAGTTGTACGGGGAGTGGAAGTCTGACTCCATGACATTGTTGATGGTCAGGGTGGAGAGAACAGCCCCGCCTTGAGATGGAGGTTTACTCTGCTCCACTGTGTACCTCTCCATTAGTGTGCCTTTCTCTTTTTCCCAGACGTTTTCCTTCCACGCCCAAACCTGTAACAAAGATACCAAAGGCCTGACATCTAAACCTGGACAACCTGACAGAGAAGAGGCCAAGGCTATCACACACAGCTGGTAAAATACATTTTAAGATGTCAGAAAAACATGTTGGAGTGAGCACTGGCTTTTGCATTTGTTCTGTTTCTTCAAAGCCTCTAAAAAAAGCCGCCCAAGTGTACTTCAGTTTTAGATTAAGTTAAGAATAAAGACTTGATATATCTGTAAATATATAAATATGTGCCTAATCAACACATCTCCTCCAAGCTGTATTAATGTGATGCTGATCTAATCGCCAGCATCTGTAATTTGTTTGATTTTTATCTAAACTCCAACATTTTCTGCTGCAATCATCCACTTTAACCTCAGGGATCAATAATGCTGATTTCACTTTTTCACGATAGCCTCACATCGAGGGACGCACACGCACGCGCGCGCACGCGCGCACACGAGCAACAGATGGGCTGTTGTTAAGACGTGTTAAAAGAGGCAAAAGCGAGGAAATATATTTTAAGCTCGAAAGATTATATTTTCACACCCTGGTAACTGGTACACTATTCCCCAATTAAAATGTGTGCACAGAGTTTTCTGAGTGGGTGAGAAAACAGTTCTGCTTAAAAAGAAGAGACACACACAGTGCAGCAAGTGTACACGAGAGGTAAAAACTCGAGCAGGTTTTTCTACTTAAAATCTGCTGAGGTGGAATTCCCAGGGTATTAAATATAGAGCATGACAATATCAAATATACATACACCCAAATGTTGGGCTAATGTACCTCTTAACCTGGCTTGAAAAAATAAAAAGGCGAATGACTTTAAAGTCTCAACCAGGGACGTTTTCTGCAGAACGCTTCATTTTCTTCACTCTCTCTCTTTAATCGCACTTCCTCACAATAATTATGTTGCACCACCTTTGTCTGCATCTCTGTCCCTCTTTCTCCGTACACACACACACTGCCCACACTTTTTCATACACACACACACACACACACAGCATCATACTTCATATTTTATGAGTCCCTGTGTCTCTGCATTAAGCCTAGACTATAATGTCATATCACATTATACGCTCTGAGCTCTCTGCCAATGCAGCAGGGGGCTGAAGCTTTCTAAAAGCTCTGATTTCTGTCATGTCGGCGCTGCACAATTGGATAATTGACGCTGAAAGGTACAAAATTTTACTCTCCCTCCATCTCTCTCCTTCTCATTTCGATCTACTTCACCCCCACTCTCTCTGACTCATTCTAGCCTTCAAACTCAAATGGTGTAAGTGGCTTTATTTCAGTTCTTTTTGCTTCTTTTTGTGATATGAGCGCATACTGGTCATCGTATTCTTTTTGAAATTTTATATA